GAGGCGAATGCAGCAGTGGCGACGAGGGCCTCCCAGAATGCCCCAAAAAGAGGGAACACGAGGCGAAAGGTGCCTGCATGGACACCTCTTCCTCCTCTGACGCTCACCTGAACCAACCACCCCCTGCGAAAGGCCACCCCCCTGCAGCGCACCCGCGCGCCTCTGGGGCGACCCGCTCCCGCGCCCCGCTGGCGGCGCCGCCGCCGCAGCCGGCGCTGGCGGCGAGAGCTCCTGGCAAGGGGCCCAGCCGCCGCCGTCACGAGCGGCGACCGCATCCGCATTTTCGCGCCCTCGCGGTCTGGATTTCGGGGCGCGATCCCGCGGATACCGACCGAGAAAAACGTACTCTGCACGCCGACGTCTTCTCCGGCCCGTCTCTCCGCGGGGTCGCGGCCCAGGGGCCCGGGCCGCGAAGCCGCGCACTCCTCACACCAAGCGCTTTTTCGCCCAGGCTTTTCGGGCCCCGGGGCTATCACCTATCGATCTGGGTGGGGGCACGGGCAGGTCTCGCCTCGAGGAACTCCGCCAGCGCCTCGGCCGGAACGTGGAACGGCCAACGAGAAACCGAGTGCCAGCCAGCGGCAGCCAGCGTGGACCCAAAACCCGATGTGGATGTGAAAGCTATGTGGTGCAAGCTGTGCGGTGCAAACTGTGTGGTGTGAACGACGCAGTGGAATTTACGTGGTGTGACGTATGTGACGCTACCTACGTGGTTCAAACTACGTGGTGCAAACTTGAAGGGGGCCTGGGACACACTCATAAATACACACAAATAAAAGGATTCCCCATATTTTCCCATATTTTCTGGGGTTTTGTCTTCCCCCCCACTCTCCATATCTTCCCCTATTTTCTGGGGGATCGACGACTGATTGTGCCCGTGTGCCTTTTTTCCCTCCTGAAAACTGCGCCGTGCAATCTGTGTGGTGCAACGACACTGCGCGAAGACGTGGCAGGGGGGCGGCAACGCGGCGAATCCTCGGCGGACCCCCCGGGCCTGCACCGAGGCGGCAGGCGAGGCGGCGACGGGCGGCAACGGGCCCGCTCTGGGCGAGAATCCTCTCGGGACACCTCCACGGAAGGGGAGGCCACAGACCTCCTGGACCCAGCTCACGGCACGGCCTTGCAAGCCGTGAGTCGGCCACCGTGGCGGCGCCAAAACTCTTGGCACGAAACCTGCAGCGCCGCCGCGGCGCCGAAGGGGGGCCGCGGCCGCGGCAGCATCCCGCGCCTTGCGTAGTGGGAAGCGGCGCTCTGGCAGCAGCGTCAGGTGGTCGCGCAAGCACAACAAGACACAGGCCTCGAAAGGGGCGATGCGGCCCAGGCCCGATGATCGGACCACCGATAGCACTGCTCCATTATATGGGGGCGGCGGCGTGGGGCCGCGGCGGCCAAGCCCTCCAAGGGGCCTCCGTCAGCGTGCTCGCCCGCGCGAGGGCGCACCCGCGAGGGCCCGCGCAAGGAAGGGCGCCATCGGCAGCAGCCGCGCCCGTCCACTCTGACCGTGGGGCTCGCCGCCAGCCTCGAGGTTGGACCACGCCCCTTCGCCGCCGAACCCGACATTGCACGCTCCTGGAGCCCGCGCGCACGGACGTGATCCTGGCGCCACTTCTCCCCAAGCTTCCGCAGCCTCTCTCGCCGTCACAACGTCGACTTTTGACGTTGCTACTCGCCCGCTTGCTTCTGCAAGGGGAGGAATCAGAGCTAAAACAACACGTGAAGAGGCTATACCTGAAGGTTCCAGAAACCTGGATGGGACGAGCGACGCTTGAAGGGCACTGCAGTTGAGACTGCTAGATTGGAACAGTTTGCGGCCGCCGTCTTCAACACTTCCGTGTCTCAATCGAAAGTCGACCTGTCGCTTTCAAGATCAAGCTCGATCATACACTTTACGTTCGCAGTGCGTATCCAATTCCTTGAGTTTGTCGGTGTCCTTAGTGACTACAGAACTCTCGCGGGTCTCGGGCTGGAGGAGCTTGACCGATGTCTCATGCGCCTCCGAAACACGTGTCAAGTGACACCATAACGCCCGCAGGCACGGATAGTAGTGATGTTGGTCCTCTGATGCGCCATTGTTCAACAGTGTTGATGAGCAAAGTCAGCTCGCCGCAGGCGCTGTCTTGCTGGAAACAGATCAGGAGTTCCATCACAAGCCCGCCGCTTGCCCTGAACCTGCGTGAGTACCTCGCACAAGCAATCTCGAACGCATCCAGGCATCCTCTGAGTCCCCGGGGAGGGGGGGGGTCAGAAACGCGACGGAGGAGGAGAAGGAGGAGGAGGAGGAGGAGGAGGAGGATACGGGGGGGCGAGAAAAACGAGGTAAAGTAGGAGGACGAGGAAGAAGAGGCAGGAGGAGGGAACCAGGAGGAGGAGGAGGAGGAGGAGGAGGAGGAGGAGGAGCAGGAGAAGGATGTGGAAAAGGGCCGCATACGGGATCCATTCCCAGCTCTCGCCCCTGGCGCCGCGCCCACCCCCGCGCCGCCTCTATGAGGGCTGGCCTCAGCCCACTGGCCGCTGGGTCGTGCGCCTGGGGGGGTGCCCAGATGGTATAGAAGACCCCCCCAATAGTGAGAAACGAAGTATTCGCCACCATACTGTGGAATTGGGTCCTTGTTTTGACGAGACAGCGCCCCGTATATTTGTTTCTCCTCCTTCCTCCTCCCTCATCCCATCCTTGCTTCTGCCCTCTGCACAACCATGTCGGCACGCCCCGCACACGGCTCGTGCACGGCAAGGTCCGCATGGCGTTTCCGCACCCCAACTCGGCAGACACAATCCGCATGCGTCCACCCGCCCCGTGTCGACACACCCTTCATACGCTTCGTGGCCCAAAGAGGAGATCCACCGAAGGCGATAGTCACAACGACATCATTCACAACTGCATCTGATTGGGTCCTTCGCCGCAGTAGTTTTCGCGTTGCAAGGGAGCGCGTTGGGCCAACCCATCGCCGCAGTGGCCACGGCGGCGGCTACTGACTGGGGGTGCGCCGTCTCCGCGGCGGGCTCTGGTGAATAGCATGACTAACATACGAAGACATGTTTGTGTGAACGTACATCTATATACAAATGCACCTACATGCGTACACATACATACATAAGCACATGTATGCATGCATGTATGTGCCCATGCATACTTACATACATAGTTATGTATACACACTACAGACATGCATGCATACATCCATCCATTCATACATATACATACATGCATGCACGCATACATACACCTACCTACATGTATCTATACACAGTACATGCGCGGACACTGATACATATATACACGTGTACATTTATATATATATACATGTGTACACTCAGATATTTGTATATATGTATGTATATACACATACACGGACGTACCCTACTCGCACGTGCTGCATCGAATGCTCTTGTCTGTAAGGGCCCGCGGGGACCATCAATTCTGTTCTCACTGTTGCTCGCCTGCTGGTTGTTGGGGGTGGTTCCGTCTTCATGCGGTGGATCTTATCCCTGCGGAGAAGGCCTTCTGGGCTACCCTACCCTATCACATCAATAGCCCCAAAAAAGCCTCCGTCGTGACCTTTCGTGACCCGGAGGGAATCAGGATGGTGACGACGATGATATTCCTCATGCTCGTCGTCGTTGTCGTCGTAGTCGTTCTCTTCGTCGTTCTCTTCGTCGTCGTCGTCGTCGTCGTCGTCGTCATTCTCGTCGTCGTCGTCGTCGTCGTCGGCCCCGTCCCCCCATCCACCCCGCGGCCCAGATCCGGGGGCTGGCTCTGTGGAGGCGTGGGGTTCCTCCAGAAGGGCGGCTCGAGCGCGCGAAGGGCACGCCTGAAGAATTCGTGCATCAAGGCCAGGCGGGAAAGCGCCGGGAGACCCAGAATAGGGGAACCCCCCAATGGCGGGGAGACGGAGGAGATGGAGGAGGCGGAGGAGAGGAGGAGGAGGAGAAGGAGGAGAAGGAGGAGGAGAAAGTGTCCGCTCCTCCTCCTCCTCCTCCATATTTCTGGCCGTGGTGGTGGGCCCTTGCCAGTTGTTACTAGAAGCCGCCCTTGACGAGGGCTCGGAGGAGGCGTAGGGGAGGATTATGGTGGCGGTGGTGGACCGCTGCGAGCGTGTTGACCGTCAGAGCTAAGCCTCAAGCATGCCGCCAATTCTCGGTTCGGGTTCGTGCTAGGCCCGAGAAGACATGTTGAAAGACACTGAGGTCGCGAGGCCGGTAAACCGCACAAAACATGGGTAGCAGCCCAGGAAGTGCCGCACTTAGATTTCGCTCAGGTATGTTCGCTTCTAGCTCACACTACGTTTACTCCCTCGGTGAGGACATTACGAGATCTTGAACAGAGAACTGCCCTCGTTGATAGCCCCTGTCACAGACGGGATCGGAAGGGTAGCTGAGTTAGTGGGGGGGAGCCCTTGCGTTACCTGGCCATGCAGCATACCCTGCATGCCCTACTCTTTTCTCTCATTGTCGCTTGTCTGCCCTTCTACTTTCTTACTGCTGCTAAGTCAGGCCTGCCTCGTTGTCCTGTTTACTTCTTCACACGGGTTCGCATCCTGCCTTCACGCGAGAACGCTACAGGCTGTGCTCTCATGATGGATTCGCCTGGGCAGAACCCCGTCACTCCAAGCGGTGACGCACATTGAGGCACGGTCGGCAAAGAAGCGATGCGAGACCGTGAGAAGGTAGGCCGGTCCGCCTCGGAGGGCGATCGGTTCACGGCTTGGTAGAACAGCCCTTCTTGAAAGGATGGAGGGAGAAGGAGGAAGATAATGGGGGAGGGGGAGGAGGCAGAGAGCCAGGATAACGGCTACGAAAGATGTGCGACGGGCGGCGGACATGGTGAGTGATGGAGGGGGGGGGACTCGGCAGAAGGACGATGCTGGATGCGGCAGAGGAGGGGGGGGGAGGGGCCCAGGGAGGGCGACGAGGAGAAAGGACGCCGAGCACGAAGAGGCCGAGCCCCGAGAGGCTCCTTCGTCCTGGGCCCTGCGCCTCTCTGCCAGCCTCGCGGCGATCATGGCGGCGGCCCCGAAGCCTCCGAAGGGGCAGGAGATGCCCCAGAACAGTCGAGAAGGAGGAGGAGGAGGAGGAGGAGGAGGAGGAGGAGGAGGAGGGTGCGAGAAAGCAAATTCGCGGGAACGGAGAAGGATGCCCGGGGCCGAAGCGGGGAGTTGAGCGGGACAGGCTGTCCCAGGAGACTCACCAGCGGTCCAGGCATCGTTCGCTCGCTCGTTCGCTCGCTCGTTCACTCCTCCTCCTCTCTCCCTCCTCCTGCGCTTACTCCCTGCTCCTCCTCCCCCTCCCCCTCCCCCTCCCCTCCCCCTCCTCCATGTGCCCCTGCCCTGCCCCGTGCCCTTCCCACTCTCACCCTCCTCCCCCCTCCCCCTCCTCACTCCTCCCCTCCCCTCCTCCTCCTTCCTCCTCCTTCCTCCTCCTCCTCCCTCCTCCTCCTACTCTCTCCTCCTCCTCCTCCTCGCTCCTCCTCCTCCTCCTCCTCCTCCTCCTCCCCCTCCCGCTTCCCCCCCTCCCCCTCGCCCCTCCTCCTCCTCCTCCTCCTCCTCCTCCTCTCCTCCTCCTCCTCCTCCTCCTCCTCCTCCCCCTTCTCCTCCTCCTCCTCTCCTCCTCCTCCTCCTCCTCCTCCTCCTCCGCGTCCCTCCTCCTCCTCCTCTCCTCCTTCCTCCTCCTTCTCGCTGCCTCCTCCTCCTCCTCCTCCTCCTCCTCCTCCTCCTCCTCATCCCCTCCTCCTCCGCCATCTTCTTCTCCTCCTCCATCCTCTCCTCCTCCTCCTCCTGCTCTTCCTCCTCTCCTCTTCCTCCTCCTCCTTTGTCTTTCCTCCTCCTCCTCCTCCTCCTCCTCCTCCTCCTCCTCCTCCTCACCTCCTCCTCCTCCTTCCTCCTCCTCCTCCTCCTCCTCCTCCTCCTCCGCCGCCTCCTCCTCCGCCTCCGCTTCCGCCTTCACCTCCCCTCCTCTCCGTCCTCCTCCTCCTCCTCCTCCCCCTCCTCCTCCTCCTCCTCCTCTCCTCCTCCTCATCATCACCAGCATCATCAATCAATCTCACATCTCCATCATCAATCAGCATCATCATCACATCCCTCCTCCCTCCTCCTCCTCCTCCTCCTCCTCCTCCTCCTACAAACCTCCTCCTCCTCCTCTCCGTCCTCGCCTCTTGATTCCCCTGCTACGTTTGCTTCCCTCCTCCTCCGCCTCCTCCTCCTCCTCCTCCTCCTCCTCCTCCTCCTCCCCCTCCTCCTCCTCCTCCTCCTCCTCCTCCTCCTCCTCCTCCTCCTCCTCCTCTCCGTAGCCATCTTGGTTCAAGATCTCATGCAGGGGGGGCAATCAGCCTCCAGGCCAAACGGACACCGCTGTCACCGCGGCTCGCTTTCATCTTCTTACGACGCCTGGTCTGCCCCAGGCTTCGTCTGCCTCCTGCGCCCACAGGTGAGCAAGTTCAGTGCTGCACGGATCTATCATGGGGACGCGGGAGCAAGCCACTTGCAAGAAACTGCAAGACCTGCAATAATGCTCGCACGGGTAAGCAATGGTGCAACATGGCGCGTTCGAAGAAGTGTGTGCTGTGTGGATTGGCCAACGGTGTTGCGTTTTGGGGCAACGTCCAGCCCTCGGAGCCGTCCTCCCGCAACAAGCAGGCCAAGCAGTTCCCTTGGCGAGAAGGGTCGGATGCTTCACAGGTGCAGAGCGCTGCAGTCGGAGGTCCCCCGTGGCGGTGCCCCACTCGGCGATGCCATGCTGGTCGACGATGACGCCAAGGACGACGACGCTGAGTCACGTCGAAGGCTCAAGGAGGTCGAGGAGCAGCTGGCTTTCGTGTCCAAGTGTTCTGGAGATGCCACGGCGAGTGCTTTCATGGAGGCGCGGCGTGCCGAGAAGGAGCCCATTCACGCCAAGCTCCAGGAGTCCCGCCCGATGTATGCGAAGTTGCGAACGATGTTCAATCGGCTCAAATCGGCGGAGAAGAGGGCCTTGGCATCACGCGAGCTGGTGGCAGCGATGAAGAACGAGCTAATGGAGGTCCAGAAGAGCCTGGGGCAAGGGGGGCAGTTCTTGCAGTCGGAGCCGAATATGGTCGTCAAGCCCGGGGAGATGCATGCTGCCGTTGCGCCGAAGACGCCTGTGGCCGGCGGGGGGGGGCGCCCGCCCCTGCCGCTGCCGCGGCCGAGGCGGGCGCTGCAGCTGAGTTCATGCCATAGGACTCCATCATTGCGGACGCCGAGGAGGAAGAGTTGCGTGCGTCCCTGCAGGCGCTCTACCCTTCGGCGGACATGGCTGACAAGCTGCCTGCCGATACGGAGGGCCTGCGAGCGGCTGCAGGTCGTCTGGTCTCTCTGCCTTTGTTCAGCAAATCCTGGCAACGCCTTGCAGTCGCGCAGCGTCCGTGCTGAGATGCTTCGCAACGAAGTGCCTCTATTCCCTATTCAGCAGGAAGAGGGGCGGCTTCTTGATGAGCAGTCTTCTGATTTCTGTGAAGGTCTCTGTGAGGATGCTCGTGTGCCTGGCGGC